CCAGCAGCCGCAGCGCGAACAGGTGGCGGTCGCAGCCTTGGCCCTTGGCGGCGTTCACCGTCAACTCGCCATGCAGCTTGGAGCAGGCGTCCATCATCTGACGCAGCTGGCCGCGCTCCGGCCGCTGCGCCGCGTTCAGCGCGCGCGACAGCGCCAACGTCGCCTCGGTGGCCGGCCGGATCGTCTCCGTGCGTCCGTGCAGGAACGCCGACGTGCTGCACGACTCGTACGAGCCCACCGTCTCGCCGGTGAGCCGGTGGAACGCCACCTGAAAGCCCATCTGCATGAAGGCGTCGGGCGAGATGCGGCTGCGCTTGCACAGGTCCTTGCCGAAGCGCGGCTCGACGAACATGCCGATGGCCAGGCTTTCGGCGTGCTCGTGGAAGCGACGCCGCGCGTCAGACACCGCCTGCTCGGCGCGAGCGTCCAGCTGCCACTCCAGGCGCCGCACCGCCGCCTCGCCCGGCCGCGAGTCGGGTCCCACGCGTGGCCGCTCCACCGAGTCGCTGTACACCTCGTTGAAAAGCCGCAGGACGGCCACACCGTCGCCCCAGGCGTGCTCGAAGTTGATGGCCGCCTTCCCCTCGCCGCTCAGCACCAGCGTAAACGACTTGTCGAACCAGCGGTTGGCCGCGTCACCGTGTAGGAACTGCTTGAACGCGCGCACCGGGTCGTCGTCGATGCGCGCGTCGTCCAGCGCCAGCACGAACAGCGCCGAGTCGACGACGTCCAGCGTGGGCCCGTTGCCCGTGTCGAGCAGGTGCTGGCGCGTGGCCGCCCACGTGTCGCGGTTGTCGGCTGTCAGGTAGCCGAGCGGGGCGTCGGCCGGCGGCCGCGCGTCCGCCGCCACCGCCGCCACGCAGCCGTGAATGTGCGCCGGCGGCAGCAGCTCGCCCGCCGCGTCCAGCACGTCGAACGCGTACAGGTGGCCGTTGCGCACGGCCAGCACGTGGCGCGAGCCGTGCGACTTCTTCAGCTCGTCCCGGCCGGGCTGCGGCACGCGCGTGGAGGCGAACAGATTGCCGAACTGCGACATGTCCAGCGGGAACGCCTTGTAGAAGTAGGCGCCGAACGATGCGAAGCGCCGCGGCAGCAGCTTCACTATCTTACGGAGGCCGGGCACGTCGCTCTTGGCCGGGTTCAGGTGGAACACCTCGGGCGTCAGCAAGCCGGCCTCCAGCGTGCGCATGAAACGCACCGCCGAGATGGTCATGTTGGTGGCGCGCAGTACCCGCTCGTTGTACGGCGAGTTGGGGTCGTCGATGTACGACATGAACGGGTTGTAGTTGATGACGATCGGACGACGGTCAGACAGGTACATGTCAAACCACGGCTTGGAGATGTAGCTGGTGTGCTTATTGGCGCGGTCGCGCTGGCGCAGCACCAGCTGCAGCTTCTTGCCGATGCCCTGCTGGAAGCGCACCGCCAGCTCCTGCGTGTGCTGGAACTGCTCCGGCGACAGCAGCGGCTTCTGGGCGTTCAGGTAGCGCATGCACGTGTTCTCGATGGTGGGGATGGGCAGCCTGGGCAGCGATGCCTGGAAGATGTCGGTGGGCAGCTCGCTGCGGTGCAGCAGCTGATATTCGTCGGCGGCGGGCGGCGCGGTGGCCGCGGACCGCACGGCCAGCCGCGCCAGGCGCGCCGGCACCGCCACGCGCAGCATGCTCGCTCCCCGCAACAACGCGGCGACGACGCGCGCCTCTGCCGGCACACAGAAGACACGACTCAACGACGGCCCAAGTCCATAGCGTCGGCGGCGGCGCCCGGCCGGCCGGCCGCCGCCCCAGACGGCGGTCCGCTGGCCGGCCGCCGCCGCCGACCTTCGGCAAAGTGGACCAATAATGTGTTACGTTCTGGTGAACCGGCCGCGTCTGGGGAGCTTCACGCTGCTCTGGACTCGGACCGTAGTTGGAATCGCTACTTCCTGCCGCAAGGCCGGAACAACGGGGCGCGAGTGTACACGTAAACCTGACAACGTCGAAGCGCTCTGGCGAGGCGTGCCACACATTGGATCCGAGCGTATTCGTTTAGACGATAAAGGCAATCACTCTTAGAATTCCATAGCGAAGCAGGAACATGCACATATAGCATAGCATATGCGTTTCATGTACCTGCCCGAGAAGGCCTAGGTGCAACCGGACAGGTAGATGGCAATGTTTTATTTGTGCTATATGCATCGCGACCATAGCTCGTGAAGGCCAGTCCATGCATCGAGTCATGAAGCGGCCTGGCCGGCATTCAGCTGATACTGTCATATGGCGCAAGGGCGCCATGCTGGCTTACGATGCCGTATTTCCTTCTTTACTCCCTTGTTTAGTCCTCTTAGGTGTTTACCGAGAGCAGGGGTCAACCAAAAGACTACAACAAGCCTTAACGTTCTTCACCTGCTAATATCAAAACGAAATTGTGAACGCGTTCTCCCCAACATCATGGATCCGCAGTCTGCACAGACCTCTTGTAGTACGGGCAACAAACCACGCCCGATACTTCAGTTCCTCTGCGATCTAGAGCGCATTCCCACGAATGCCATGCGTCGCGTCCCAGAGCACGGTCTTCTAACGCACGCGAGCCCTGCCGCGTTCTACGACCTCGCTGCCTGTTTGGTCCGTTTGTACGTCAGTTTTCCGCCAAGAGCGGACCACACTATTTGCCATGCAGCGAAATGTGAATGGTGTCACGGAACCCCAGTCTTATCATAATGCCCCCGCCTTAGTAAGCCTTATCATGCTAATGCAACAGCTCCTCGCATACACCACATAAACTCCGCACGGACGCGGCTGGAGGGATCGACTGGTGGTCGGGACGGGCATCCGCAGCCGCCGCACGCGTGCTAGAGTACGAAACTCGCTTCGAACAATTCTGGTTATGAAATCAGCTGCCATTTCCTGCCCGCAATATAAGTTCGAAGCGTTCAAATTTCTCAGTTTTTCGTCAACCGCGCTTTTCTTCCATAATCTCCAGAAACTTCAGCTGGCAATGAGGTCACTCTTTGATTGCAAACCAACACACGGCTTTAAACTTGTATTCCTTCCGCATGTCACAGTATTAGCCGCCATCCTATTGATTGCTAGGCGCTGCTGGCATATCACCTCCTTCCACGGTCGCATAAGGTCCGTACGACGTAAAATAATCGCAGACAAATAAACGCATAGAGCTCTCGGTTCCCATTTAAAATCTCCGCCGCGCGCAAATAGAGCGCAACAACCAAATACGCTGCCATAACGCGATTCCGGGGCTCCATACGACGACGATTGAGGACCCACCGCCCCGCTACGCAGTGTCATGCGATAGAACACAGCCTGCCGGATCGATAACTCACTGTGGCGCCCTGCCAGAACCCCCCCCCCCCTTCCCTTCCTCCCTTACCCACAGGCCCCAGGGTGTGCGTCCCTCATCCCAGCGGGCCGGGCCCTGGCAAGTCTATTACCGATTATCAGTAACAGGGATCAACTATACACTACTAGATACATCAGCTCGCGTCCTAACGGTCGCCCTGGCTTGATCGGAGCAGCTCATCGGGCCAACAAAGAACTACAAATGGTAGCCGGAAACGCCATGCAATGTCCGGCGGACATTGCGTCATTTCCAGGCAGCGCAATTTTGTCCCTCAGATTCATCAGAAAATTGACTAGATGAAAGCAATATGCAACAACCGAACAGCGTGCTGTCTGGCGATTTACACACCAAAAATTATCATTTGAACTTTTAGAGCTGTAGCATCAGCAAGGCGCATAAATTATACTCATAAAAAATTGAACGAACGCCCAATACCATGACAGAGCTCTCGTTGCTATCTGGCAGGCTGCCGGATGGCCCAAATCGGCACTTCGTGGGTCAAGCGGTTGAGCTGGGGTCCTTCCATGCCGTGCATGTTTGTTTGGAAGATAGCTGCCAGCAGATCGCGACTTACATGGGACGTGATCGCATCACCGTTCGAGCGACTGTGGCAGTGTATTAATGAAGGCCTCACGCACCACACACAGACACGAACGGCGGCGACAACCACAGCCGGCAACCATAAGTCATTCATCATGAAATATCAGGTTCCAAAATCCTGTGCAAAGATCTTCAAGAAAATTGGTTCTACCTGATGTCACGTACGTGAGCATTGGCACAATACTCGCTGTCAGGCAACAAGCATAGGATGATACAGACGCTGCCTGGGATAACGCACACTGTCACCTGACCCAGACGTGAGCGTGCAAATCAACTGGAACGAACACGAATTTTTGAGATCGTGCCTGCTTCAGGTAGAGACAATAAGGGCCAAGGAGATGGATTTAAGTTTTGGGGCACGCCGACGTCGGAGGTCATTGTACGTTCATAGCTAGTTGAAAAGTGTGCCGTTTTCTAGCCAGAAGGAAGAAAAATTGCTACCTGGAGAGAGGCAGAGCGAAAATAAATGTAGCCCCCCCCCCCCCCCCACCACCACCACTACCATCCTCCCCGAAATCCAGACCAACAGTGGATTCGCGTTGGTCGAGGCTCGTGTTACGCCTGACCGCCAGGTGGCTCCACCTATATCAGTCTGCTTACATGCTTGGTCACGTGGTTTTGACGAGGTTGCGATTCGGACGACGACCCCGCACCCGTTACTTTTAGATCATCTTCGTAACTCTCAACATCACTCAAATCAAATCTGTAGATAATGTGACACTGCCACAGGTTGGATTGTCATTCTCCCGCTTTCTCCTCCTGATCGCTAATTCCACCACAGGGTTGAAAATTATCTTCAGTGGTGATGGTGTGCTTAAAGAGTACCTACTTTGTAACGCACCTCAGTCTAAAGAATACAGGGCTTAAAGGGCACTGCAATAACCTTTTATAAGTTTGTGTTTGTATCTCGAAAACCTTGTAAATTCGTGGATCAAGGAAACATAATTTGCCAACGCAAAGATGTCTAGTTGCTAGCAGTATGAGGTCACTGGACACAGATATCACCGATACCCTGACATTCCGGAAATGTACTCAGTTTTCACAGGCACAACTGTGGTGTATTGCACGCCAAGTTTTGACCTCATGATATGCATTGCCTACAATCTGCGTGGGGACATGAGAGCCTCAGCAGTTAGTAGTAATTGGAGCTTTAGGATGCTTTGCCTATGTGATCATGTAGTGCCTATGCCTCAGCAGCTAGAGGTGGCTTCGAGTCTAGACTAGAGCCTGGGTAGAATTCCTGTCAGACAAAGTACTTCCTCCATCCTCAACCAGATCAGTTAGTTATTTTGTTCAATGTATGCTGGCCCCTGGGATCATTTTGAGCACATTCTTACTGAGGTATGGCATGCTACTGACTTATATTGTGAAATGTGTTTGTAAATGATGCAACACACATCATCATGACACTTTACAAAGCCTCAACAAACCCTGCATTTGGGCCCAGGCCATCAATTATATGTTTGCCTTGTTGTGTCATGGGGGTATAGTTTCAAAAAACCAGTTGGGGAGAAGCAGGGATACAAAAACAGGTTTCTTGCCAGATCTGACCTGCTTTCTCTCACAGTGGGGGAACTGGAGCCTCCCCCTCCTCAGCCCCACAACTGAAAAACACCCTCCATCTCTGATGTGTTATATCACAGACAGAAATAAAAAGGAAGCAGTTGTTGGCATTTAAAATAAATGCATTTACAGCACAGGTTGCTAATGCATAAGTCATGGAGAAGAGCTCTGTGCATGTAGGTGCCCAGTTGCCATCTTTTGAAGCAATGTGGACTTATCTGAACCTGGCTAATCCACTTGTGTATATCAGGTAATAACTCTGTTTTGCCTTTCAGTTAGATGTCAGCTTGGGAAGAACATGTTATCCAAGTCTTATCATATTATGCATCAAAAGGTGGAAAACATCCAGTTCCTCCTGTACTTTTACTCCATAGAAACATCATACCCACTGCTGCACATGCTTCATCGGCAGAACACACATCTGTCACAGAAAGCAGACCAGTGGAAACTTGGACAGGTATGCCATGGCAAAAGACTTACATCAAGGGCAAAATAAATGGAAAAAGTTACATCATCACACAGCTCAAACAATATTTCTATGAATTTAAAAAAACAAACAAGAAACAAGATGTAACATTAATTTTCATGTTAATAATTGGTAAGGAAACATTTCATTACACAAATGTTTTCATTCTTGCCTCCACAAACCATTTCAGTTGCAACTAGACAACTAAGATGTGTGCTGCTGTCCAACAAAACAAGACTGCATTCAGCCAGAGTAAAAACATGAATACAGATGTGCAAAGCCCTGCCAGTTGGTTCTGCTGATCTATGTTCTCATGATACCATGCTTCAGTTGGTAACCAGCAATCTGCTACAATGGCCACTAATGATGTAACCTGATTCACATCATCTAAATCTGAATGCATTGGGAGGCCCTTTGTGAAAACATGAAATAGTATCCTGGTAGGAGGGACACAAGCAGTTTTTAATGAAGGGGCCCAGAGCTCATTGAAGATGCATCACTTTGATTTTTCTTTTTGTTGGGAACCCTGTATGGTGAACAAAATCCAGGCCTAAGGTAGAGGTGGGGGCATGCCCCAGACCCTCCTTTGGCTGTGATCCTGCCTGGTATGATGCCTCCAAATTATTTTGTAATGTGAGATTGCTGGCAAGTGAATGGTGAAACCTTTCTCCACCCAGACCAACTTGTCAATAAGTTATATTATGCTGAACATGTCCAACATGGTTTGTGGTCAAACTGAGGCAACATTTTAGACAATATTCATCATAAATATCAGTGCCTCAAGCTTTGTATTGAGCAATCAACAATTTCAGCATTTAAAGAGCTGATGTGAGAAGAGATTAGAATGCTGCAAAAGTTACATCAAATATATGCAACCAACACAAACCTGTTTTCAAGCAAAAATTGTTCCCAAATGTAGCATAATTCATCCCCAATTGAATTAGGTGTACAAATGTGTCAGGGTCATTACACTATGGTCACTTGAACGCCTTGTACAGTGGATGAATCTCTTGCAAGCTCCCAGTCACGTGGTGCACAGGAAATTAAGCTGATATGGTGAGGTACCAGCATGGGTGCATACACAAAAACTCAAATACAGATTATGACGGCTGCAGGGATCAATGGCCAGGTGTGGGTCATTCAACAGCAATACAAGACTGAGTTTCCCAGAATACCCAGAATACTTTATCACAGTGCCTTCATTCAAGGCACATCAATTTCATTCCATTCATCCATTCATGGCAAAGCTTAAAATATGATGAGACTTCAGCCCACGGTAAGCCCCGATTACCCATCAATCTGAAGGCAGCGCTTGGGTCGGCATCTGTTACGAGATAATACCTACGTCCCTCGGAGACACCAACCACAAGTACCTGGAATCACGAGTCTTTCACCTACCTCAAGGGTTTTTCGATGTTCGTACCACAGGGTCGCCGATGAGACTCCGGCGAACCGGCTGAGGACGCGTACAGACGGAGATAGAGTAGTATAGGCGTCCAAATAAGCCTCGCCGGACCACCCACCCAACAGCCGATCCTCCGAAGTCCTCACAGCTCGCGAGAGCAGAAGAAATCCGGGGGTACGTTAGCACAGGCATATTCCTTGCTCTATTTGTTGTAAACCTAGCGGTGAATTACCCAAATAAAACTTGATGACATTGTTGTGAGTGTGAAGTAGAATACTATAAAAGTTAGCCAAACTTTTCACAGTTTATATTTTTCAAAACTATCTAGTACACAGCTGCTTATTAATCTAATGAATCGTGACGTGAATCAGCTTTTTTGCTGACGCTACAGAAAGCTACGGGAAAATCGACAGCTTGTCTAAAAACTCATTGCTGGCACTCATGAAGCTCCAGATACATTCACTTGAACGTTGCAGTCAAATCCGAGCTCATGCGTTTTGTTAAAGTTGATCGATTGAAATCGAGGTAAGTTACGTGGTATCCGAGACTGATTGAAAGCTATCACTGAAAAGTAAATCTGACTGGCACAGTGAGAATCAATCTATCTATTTGCCGCTTCTTTTGGAAAATATGGTGCGGAAAATAGGACAGTAGCTCATGGAGCATATGATCAGTTGGCCATAAAACTTCCTTGGACCACCTCGGGACGAAAAGAAAAATGAAGACTTTCTGAAGTCTCTCTTTGAATATTTAGTTCCTTCAAAAACAGCAGCATTTGAAAATAGATTTAACTGAATCAATGCAAATGTATCGGTGGGGATCAAGTGTGGGTCAAGCAGCTTCGTCTGTGATGGATGCGTAACTGACCGAACATTAGATTCGCCGTATAATTTAGCTGTCTCGCCGAGGCAATGGAGGATCATTCGTTTTTGTTTCAAACAGATCATTATGTCCCACACTTTTAAGTCATCACATGGAAATCTGAAACACTAATCGACGTATTGGGTTGGTTGGTGGCAGGTCAGTCAAATTACATTTTCTGGATACAAGAAACATTATGCATTGCTGGCACCGTGTGTCTAAAGCACAGGTATGTTGCATGTGCCACAGCTGCACTTGCAATCCTAATCGAAGTTTTGTTTATTGCCATGACTGTGTAAATCACTTGTACGTTGAGTCCACCAGATAGCCTAGCAATAGGACTTCCTGTGTGGATTGCAGGTCTGTTTTATTGCTGGCTCAGGCTGTTGGCCGCTATGACTCTAATACACCCGAACGTTCTTGAAAAAAGATGTCCAAAAATTTCACGCACTACGCAATGGAAATCGAAGTCTTCTATGCTTCTGCTGCCGAGGCCTCCGAGACTGCTAGCGGCTACCTTCATAGACATGGTATTTCAGGTAGTCCTACAGACAGAAGTCGAGAGGTGGCAGGTTGGGGTACGAGCCGTCCGTTCCAGGTCAAGTCGGCGACTGATCTCATTGTCACCGAAGTGACTCTGGAACTGCACTTATGATCCATTGGAACAATGGGGTGTAATATTGTCCCGCTGAAACCACCAGCTGGCGCGTCTGCACACGCTCACTCTTCCTAGATGTGGCCAGAATTTCACAAATACTTCGATGCACCGCTGAGTATTCACTGTAACCATGCAAATGTTATCTCCCTTGAGCCAGAATAGTGCGATAACACCATGCCTGGTTATCGTTATCCTTGCGATACGCTTTACGGAGTGCAGGGGTCGCTGCTGTGCGATATTGGGCATGATTTCTCCCCGGTACACTTTGTTCTCTGAGTTGGCATTAACATTACCACTGAACAAAAATGTGCCTCATCAGTGAACCAGAGATCCTCGGAAGGTTTTAGTCGTGCTCGAGCTTATCAGTGAACCGCTAACATATTGTCAACCATTTATCCATGTCTTGGAGTTCGAGCCTGGGAACACACCTGTTTGGTGTAAGTGCGTAGTTGCAAGAGTTTCAGAGTGCTGAACCATCCAGTTCTGATCAGTTCGAGCTCTTTGCTGCAACGGCGAAGAGATGTTGTTGGGCTCCGTGCGACTGATGTCGCGACGGCGGCGATTTCGGTTGGGGTTCTTTTAAATCATGTGTCTCCCAAATGAGTAGGCCTGCCCAGGGCTGAAGCGCTCAGATTGTGCAACATTCCATTAGCTCTGTACCCAACGGCAGGTTGACTGCCTGCTGAGAGTATTACCTTTTTAAGACCAGCGTGGCCTGCAGGCTCCAAGCGGGTTTGTTTGAATGGGTTGGTTTTTGTATACCTTTTGACACAAGGTGTTTTCTCTGGATTGCTTACCTCATCTTGATTAATCCATAACCCCGGCGAAAAAGAAAACGTTTGGAAAAAGTGTATCGTAGCATGTGGCATGCACGATGCATGGAGTCAGGCTATTGACGATTCACTTCCTTGTCTTTAAACTACTTCCGTTGTTAAGAAAAGTGTTACATTTCAGGGGGATATCCCATACTTCCAGTACAGTAAGAGCAAGAGTGTGTCGGCGCTACAATCAAAAACAGCGCGTGCCACCAACGTTTTTGTCTATACCAGCCTAACCAAATAAATGTAAGTACAGAACCCCAAGATTTTTCACAAAGGTGGTGTTTTTTACCCGAAGTCTTGCTGCGCGCACCAGCAGCCGCAGATTGCAGCGAATTTGTGAAGTCAATAACTAAGATATGTAAGTTACGAAATTGCTGCAGAAACTCTTAATACCAGTTCTGAGGATGCAGACGGAGGGGCAGCAGCAGTGAAGCGGTGATGCGGTTGGGTGGCCTCCAGAAAGCGGATGTGCGTGCACGCACAGCCGGTTAATTCTGGAGGCCGGCCCGGTTTCGCGCACCGATTTCACCGCGTCCAAGGACTCCTTGCCGCGGCTGGCACGGTCCGATAGTGCGTGTGCCGGTTGGTAGGGGTAGCCCGCCCACGCCCGCACGCGGGCCTCAGGTTGGGAGATCGGAGGGTCGGGGCCTTGTGCCGCGGCCTTGTCGGGAAGACGCTCTACGTAATTTTTCTGCCCAGCTAAACTAATGCTGCGAGCAGCCAGGTGCCGCAGAGGTCCTGACAGCAGCCTCGAGCTTGTCAGACATTGTTTGAACTCACGGGCGCGATGCGCCGGATGTATTTGCTTAATACCGTCACACAGTAGATTGAGAGGACCGTGCTCCCGGGGGAGCAATGCGCGTGTGTTCCAATCTGAGATTATAATGTGCGTCCACCGCGACCGTCATCTCTGCCTTTTACTGTTGGCTGTGCCCACTCTTATTAGCAAATGCGCACGTTGGCTGAACTCATTACCCACCAGGATGCCGGGCTGATCCACGGTGAACGCCGACAGACGCGCATGTAGTAATTGGTGCACAGTAATTGGTGCATTAATAATAGCACCAATTCGAACTCACGCCTCTCGTCGATCTGGCTACCTACGCTCAGCCCGGCTACGCTCTACCACTACGGAGCCCAGCCGCTCCGCCAGGGCTTGTGGTGACTGCTGCCGCCGAAGCGTCGTCAACATGTTCCAGTCCGTCCGACCTCGCTGGTGATGTTCATCACCCATCATGGCGTTGTCAGCAGTTCCGCCTCACCCTCGGCTGAGTAAACGGTGCCTACCAGCGCTCGCCCCACCGTAGCCACATCGCCACCGGTCAACTCCACTGCGCGTGGAACGGTCCTGTATTGTGACCACCTCCACCAGAAACAGACCACTCTCCGTCGTCTCAGTAAACCGACACCGCAGCCTCTGCCAAGGACCTGCCCGCCGCCTTCCCGACGCCGTCTCGTCACTGTGCACTCGTCATTTTTTAGTAACGTGAATTGATCGTACAACTGCGGTGTTCTTATGTTTAAACTTCAAAAATATTGTGATCGTTTTGCTTATGTTACGGCTTCATTCAAGCAAGTAATAACTATTTGTCTGAAATCGGACACGAAAGAGCCCTGTATTGTTTTGCTGCAATCTAACGTGACATCCTGCAGCATCCAAATGCCAGTTCCCCAATTCAGTGGTGTCGGCCAATCTGTGTCCGCGTTCATCGCCGACCTGAGGTTTTCGCGGCTCTGATTCTGGTGACAACACCAAAAATGAAGCGCTCTGGGTCGGGACTTTTTCCAATGGTTCCGCTGTCTGTTGGATGACGCGTCTCGCCGCCTCGTGTTTCCGTCGCTGGCCCAGCCGGCACCGGCTGATAGGCTGATAGGCTGATAACTCAGGCTCCGCACTACGTGAAAACAACCCCGGCCGGGCCGCCGCCCTCCGTGTGTCAGATACAGCGGGCCATGAGTAAGCAAACAGAGCCGACCCGCCCAGACAAAGATGAAATGAGAGGCGCAGCCAGCGCGGAGCGTCTGTCGGTCTCCGGCGTGGTAGTGCGGCAGGACTAGCAAGTGCCGCCGGGACGGAATGTGTCATTGAAAGTTATGCTGATGACGAATCTTTTGAGGGTCCAGCGTTCGTCGAAGGTGACGGAGATACGGAAAGTCTGACGATACCTGCAGTACTGCAGGTTCAACCTGGTCAGCCCCTCCCGGTACCTTTAAGAGATATGTCGCAACAATATGTAACGGTGTACAGAAACACCAGATTGGATCGCTCGGCCGCGACTTTCGATATGTACGCGGAGAAGGTGATCGAGCAGAAGTGTGCGGCACGATCTCAGCGCAACAATGTCCCGAAATGCCGCCGATCGAAGTCCCAGGGGAGCTGACGGAGTTGGAATGAGCACGGGCAGCAAAATCGTTGACGAGTTATCATCAGCTGTTTGACGGACGAGCGGGGCTCACTACGCTGGTGCAGCACACCGCTCCAACGGGCGACCCTCGGCCTATCAGGCAGGCGCCGAGACGCATCACATTCCACCGCAGAGACGAGGTCAAGGCTAAAATTAATGAGCCCTGCAAAATGCCAGCTGTTCCGACCAGTAATGATGTACCTTGGTCACCGAGTCTTAAAAGACGGAAAAAGGTTCAGAGAGTGGTAAACTGGCCAGTGTCCAGGTCCAAAAAGGAGCTGCTTAGCTTCCTTGGATTGGCTGGTTACTTTGACTGCTGCATGGCTGCAGCCTTCATTAAGGTGAAGGACCTGCTGACCTCAGCATCAGTGGTGGCTCTGCTTCG